ATCTCTCCGTTCCCATTGCATGGCTCTGGTGCGCCCATTACCACGCCCCCCGGGCCCCAATAACAACCGCGATTGTCGAAAGCGGTGTTTTTTGGGGCGGCAGAGTTTTTCGCTGAAGCACCAACATCGGCGTGCGACGGAACGAGTTTCCGCGCACGCGTGTGCACGTACGCAGCGAGGCTTTTCCAGTGGACACTTGTCGCTGGGTTTGAGGATTCATCACTTGAATATCAATTCCTAAAGACGGTCACGACACACGCAGTAAATGACGCGTGAAAGAACACACTATTATTGCCCCATGCAAATTCTACGTGAAATATTCCACTATATTCATGATCAGAATGAACAAGAGAGTAAACATGAGGTCGTACACACAGCAACAATGAGCTCTGTAATGTCTCATGTGCTTGCTCGTTTGTTTAGTCTCATTCGTACCATGAGGCCAAAGGTTACATTGGCATATAATTTACATATAACCGGTAGGAAACATAAATAACATATTCTTGAGTGCAGGATTCAATTAGGAATCAGCATCTTTATTTATACTGGAGGAATCCCATGAGCTATAAAGCGCTTTTTCACAATGTCCAATTCAAGTGCTGTGAACATAATAAACCATTTTCGTCACCGGGTCAATGAATCATTCGGGGCAGCAACATGGCCCAGCGGTAGAGCGTTTGTCGCGCGCTGCAGAGGTTTGCGATTCAAACCCAGCAGCCACCCTGGCAAGTACTGCGGGTGCATTAACTGTAAAACACGCAGCGTCTGCTTCACAGTAGACGTTAAAAACCCTGTGAAGTCATTCGAAAAGAGTTTACCATTATGTGCTGGCGACGTGGTTCAAATTCGCCAAATAAAATAAACGACCTGAAAATTACTCGATTGGGATTACACACAGCAACGTCGCTCCCTACTGTGAAACCAAGTCTGTAAAATATAGCACCATCGTGAAAGCATTGCGCGATTCGAATGGCACAAATACCACATGTACGAAATTATTATTATCAATCATTACTTGTCCAACGTCCACATTAAGACCAAGCAGAGTGAAAAAAACGCTCCCACCCCCAATGAGGCTCTTTTTTGTAACTCTGATTATCATCTTAGAACTAAAAACAGATGATCATTAAAAATAGCACCACCTCCTGCAGGCAGGGCTACAAACGTTTACAACCCTCCCACCCCACCCAATGAGGCTTTCTCTGGTTTTGTTGTTGTAAATGACATTATCATTTTAGAACTATAAACAGACGAGCATTTAAAAATAGCGGAACCTCCTGCAGGCAGGGCTAAAAACGCCAGGACGTACGGGAGAGTGCGCAGTTAGCCGTATCGCCCACGTTCCCGCGCGCGCACGCACACGGAAAACAGCCTCGCGACTGGAACAGCGCACGAGCGAGCGCTCTTCTCTGTTAATCCTCCCAGGTGAGGCGGCCACACCGCAAGCGTGACATCATTGCCAGGTTGCCGTGGCGACGGCCAGCGGGGGGGGGGGGGGGGGGGGAGATGCTAGAGGTCGTCAAACCATGCAAGTGCGGAGCGGGGGGGGGGGCTCTAGCAAGGACAGCGTCCGGGGCAGGAGGCGTCAACCATGAAGAGGACGACGACAACGATGCCACAACATTCGCGGCAGGTCTCATTCAGTCATAGCCCTTACGCACGATGACTGTCCTCATAGCGACATGCCAGATGGAATTTAGATTCACTAAACCAGCACGGTGGGGGGGGGGGGGGGGGGGGCGGTGCAGGGGGAAAGGAAGGACTTTGCTGAAATATTTTTTTGCTGCTTTTGACGCATCCACGGTTATGAAACTGAGCGACCAATGTCTCCGTCCTGGAAACATGCGACAGTCATTCTGGCTCCAGTGAAATCACTCTTTGGCAGCACGAGTTAATTTCTGTAGGAGCCGAAGCCTGCACAAAGCCCGTAACGGCATGTGCAGTTAATCACCGAGATGAGGAAAAATGCATAAACATTTAAATAAAAAAATGTAATCCATAAAATTCCAGGGCTGGCCCCACTGCAGAGGATGTTCCAACGCCTTGGCCAAACTCCACACAGAGGTGAAACCGCCCTGCATGCGAAGCGGCAAACTGCCCAAGCGCAAATAAACCAGCCTGACGGCTATGAACATACAGGATGGTGCAACTCAGGGCAGACCTTACCCTTTCACATGTGCCCACAATCACGACCTGCTCTCACCACGTGCCACGTTATGAGGGGGGTGGCTCAGCAACCCCCAACAGAAAGCGCAAGCGCCATCTTTCAAGTGATCCGCTTAAAATATATATATTAAGCCCCAGCCGCCTCACTTGACCGGTCCACATTTAACGGCGCAAGGGAATGTCACTGGTGCCCCCTTGCGAGCCCACGCGTCTTTTATTTTTATTAATCAGAGCCTCAGGGGAGGAGACTGCAGAGCCACGGTGACGCAGAGACCTCCCAACACTCATTATAGGTGCGTGCTCACGCACGCTGGGATGCGAAACACGACCCCACTTGGTCATCCTCACGTGCACCGAAGTATAATACGCCGCTGGCCTCCTCAAACATACAACTACAGCTCTAACCCTATCCTTAGCCCTAACTCTATCCTTAGCCTGATCCTTAGACCTGGCCTTAACCCTATTTCGAGCCCTATCATTAGCACTAACTCTATCCTGAGAGCCTGATCCCCAGCCCTGCCCTTTTCCCCATCTCTTGCACTATCCCTATATTTAGCCCTCACTCTATCCTTAGCCCAACCCCTAGTCCTATCCCTATAACGATATCCCGAGCACTAACCCTATCCTCAGCCCCAACCTTATCCCCAGTCTTCAAACTGTCCATCCCCTATGCCCCACGCATGATTACATTGCGCCCACCCAAATTCCCACTCCTGCCAGATTATATTAATCATCCTGAATGCCCGATCTCATCCAATCGGAGAATCTAAGCAAGGTTGAAGCAACAAATTATTAAACCCAAATTATTAAGCATCAAACATTACCCCTCATTGTGTGGGTTTTCTCCAAGTACTCAGATTTCCTCCAGCATGCCAAACGCTCATTAAAGTAATGTGCAAAAGAGTACTGAGAGTACTGTGATTCCAAGAGCCTCTCCTAGAAAATTAAAGGGCACTACCATAATAGTATGACTGTGATTAGCTGCAGAAGCATTATTTCTAGCAGACTTGTTTTGCTTTGACAGGATGAAGCAATCCATGCTCAGGTCAACACTCTATGAGTCAAGTGCAGAAACGGAGAATGGTGGAAAATGCTAAATACACACACCACATCCGGCCCACCTTCATTACCTACTTGGCCTTTGGAGTGGTTTGGCTTTGCGCCCTCTTGGCATGTGCCGTTAGCAATAATGATAATACTTACCTATGAGTGTCTCAGTGAGTAGCAAGCCTCTTACTTGCCCTGCAATGGGATATTTGACCAATGCCATGAATTAACAATTTACGCATGGGAGGAAACTAGGAGTACCTGGAGAAAGCCTACCACATGCATAAAAGTTACACATGTCACACGCACAGATTTCCTTATATTCAGAGGTAGGGGAAACCACAAGCGGAACGGCATCCAATACTGGCACTAACAATTGCCCAAACTCTGTAGCCCTAAACCGGGATGTTTGGCCAACTCCAATAATAAGCGATTGTACATAGGGAAGGAAGCTGGTGTACACAGAGAAAACCCACGCGAGTGAGGAGAGAAAGACCAAATCACCATTAAGATTAAACATACGGAAATGTATCCATTTCCTGTACTGCCATCTCCTGACAAGCCAAGATATCGTGACCTGGATGCCCACGAAAAGTGAGTTTCAAGACATTTGTGTGATCATCCACCAGCCCCTGCCTCGAAAGTTCTGGGTTGCAGGCATGTGCCACCACTGTCCTGTTATGATGAGATAATACTGAATGCTCCACAGACAAGTAAACCGACCCACTTGCTGTACTCCAATTCCCTGGTCAATTCTCAACCCGGTGGGTTTGGAAGTTTCGCAAATCTGCGTTATCCACCAAATCCTCCCCTTCAAATAGCCAGATCACACGCGTGCACCACGGCACCTGGTTCAGAGCCTTTGACGTATCCTTTGATAATGCAACCCCAAAAATAAATTACCTGGCGGCTGTAATTGTGAATAGAATCATCAGCCTGCTGTTTGAGGTTGACCCATGGTGTTGTCTAACACCGCAGGTGGAGTGATATCTGGACAAGTCCTGGGTACCCATTTTACCAACCGGCACTGTGCAGTGGACACCCACGGGCTATCTGCCCTTGGATCGTCGTGATGATGATGACTGTGTTTAAACAAACCCCCCATTAAAGAAAGCTTCAACTCATATTAAAGATGTATGGGTATTTTATTTTCCCAGGTGAGAACTCAAGGGACCAGGATAGTCTTCATTTGCAAGAGTCACCTGTAGAAGGTGATGATTGCTATACGTAATCCCAAATTAATAATTTGCGGGTAATGTTTTTAATTTGGCAAATTCTGACACTTGACGGCGGCACACAATGGCCTACTCTTACGAATGACATCATGGGATCTTGACGCCCTGTGTACCCACAAGTACTCCTTTAACCCTCTGCATGATGCATCCTCACGTGTGCTCCAGTGTCCTCCTGTATATTCCTGTATCTTCCTGTGTGCTCATGTATGCTTGTGTATCCTCCCGTGTGATAACCTTCTCTTGTGTTCTCCTGTATACTCATGCGTGTTCCTGTGTACTTCTGCATTCTCCAGCTCGCTACTTTTTCCTGCGGTCTCCGCTCATGTGTGCATACATTCCCTCCTGTATCCTCCTGTATCCTCGTGTGGCTTCCTGTGTACTTCTGTGTTCTCACGTTTCCTCCTGCGTCCGGATGTGTGCATGTGCTAGCCTGAGTTGCGTTTTAGTTATATGCATGAAGCACGAGCGCCAATACGTGCGGATGCGCATGTCCTTACATGGTCGCGCATTACGCGCAAATGCGCGTGCTCATGCCTCGGTGCAAAGCCTCACCATGAAGCCGGAAAGCACGGAGGAGAAGTTTCCGGCCTTGTACTCCTGGTTGATGCTGGAGCCGGGCCGCGACACATGTCGCAGCACCGTGCCGTGCACGATGGCGCCGAAGATGAAGCTCAGGTTGCCGAGCACGATGAGCGTCAGGCCGATGCGCATGAGGCGGATGGAGCCGCGCTGAGCGTCTGTGGGAGTAAGCGACGGGTAGAAAGCGGTGGCCCATTAGCACATGGGGTGGGGGGCAACACGGGAGCACACGGGAGCACAAAGGATCACATAGGAGAGACATACATAAAGGACAGAGGTGCACACAGGAGGAGGTAGGCAATCAGATGAGCACAGGAATAAACAGGAGCATAGAGGGAAGGATACAAAGCAACCCATTGGAACAAGCAACAGAGCATAGGAAGCAACAACACAGGACAGAGTAGACATAAATATAGAGGAGCACACAAACACACACACAGGAACAAGGAGCCACAAACACGAACGTAAACAGACACACACATGGACCAACATGTACGCACACCAAGGACACACATTGAACAACACAATGGGTACATACCAACACACACATGGGCGCACACACAGGCGCACCACGCTTGGCACAAATCTCCCGGGCACCCACACTCAATGTTATCAATTTTACTCTTCAGACTAAAGTCGCAAAACAAGCCAGCTCACGTTAGAACATTTCAAGACCTCCCATTCCAAATTCGTTCCACTCAACTAGAAGGTCCATACAACACGTATCGATATTCCACAGTAAGGATGAGGCCAACACACGGCTGTCAAGCAGACTAAGACGGTCATGCTAAACTATTGGTCAGAGAGGATGAAAAGGTCCGCTTAGGGCAGCAGCACCATGGTGCTTGTAGGTTGTCCTCGCGAAGGGTGAAGCTGGTACAGCATTGCCCTATTTGGTAGCAGTTTTTTAAGTGACATTGCCAGCATTTTTTTAAGTGCCCACTTTGAGCCTATTTAAGGCCAACGATAAAGAACAGGCTGCTGTGCACATGTACATTGGAATGAGTTTCAGATTTCCTTTATTTTCAGATCGTTTAGCCCAATTTCAGATTTTATTCTGTACTGTATTTTGAGATGTTAATGTATTACAATTTAATTGGTCAAGAATACTAATGGAGTGGGCACCTAAGAAATGGCATGCATCCGCGTGGATGTCCACAGAGGAGTCAGAACGATAAAATCACTTGGCATTTGAAGCTCTAGACCTGATTTTTTAAAATGAATAATAAACAGCTAAAACAAATACATACCTTTGATGTAAGCTTTTCGGAGACCTCAACTTGAGCATTACAATGGTTTGAAATTTTGTCCCGACCTTTACCAGGACCAGTTCAGATATCACTCACTACTGATGTTAGCCATGGCCAGCAATCAAACTCAGGTAGCTAGGATAGAGCAGCATGCTAACCACTACACCCCCCAATGCTCTCCCCCCCATTTCATGAAATGCTGGTCAAACATTGCACAGATGGATCGGCAAAGTCCCGCTTTATCAAGCAATTGCCACAAACAATGCACTGCATGAAAATTTAATGAGCATTACAATGATAAATATCTCCCCAATTTATTCCAATAAATTAAGGCAATGTCAAAGCCGATCGCGACGGAGCTTTCAGCTCCCCGATAATTTTAATTCCCGTCACAGCAAACGAATGGGCACTCTAAAACGACTTTTAATTAAAAGTCAATGACGACATGGGACCTGCTCAATAACAATAACTCAGAGAGAAGCATCTCCTTACACTACGTGGGCGGGTGGATGCATTTTAACCGCAAATTCGTGCGGCCGAATAGGGATAATTAGATTACTTCGAGGCTAATTCCTGACGGAGTTAGTGGACCACGAACGCCACACTAAATGGAAAATCCTTCAAATGTCACCCTAACTAATGGCCAAATGCTGCAATGTCGCTTTTGCTTTATGCGCCACTGAACGTGTCCGTTAGTCTGAAAAATCACCTGGAAGGCAAAAAAAAAGTAATCTTCGCTTGTTACAAGGTGCTCCACACCGATGAAATGTCACAGTTGCTTTGTCCTTGGTCTCGTTTGACCGGGTCATTTTTGCTACGGGAAAACTATCTTTCAAATCTGGTGACGGACTCCCGGGGCTGTCATTGTGTTGGCTGTTGGTGTGACCTGTGATTGGCACTGCCCAACCTGTGGCGGCAAGATATCGCCAGTCAGTCTGTTTACAAAGTAAACAGACGCAAGTAAAAATAGCCTCGTGAAGGCATATTGAGAGCATGTCACGTCTGCACTACGTTTAGCATCTATTCCACCATGGCATTCAGCTTTCAGTTTTCTCTTAGTTACTAATTCACAATATGAGTACAGAAATGTGACTTAAATAAAAGCTGTGTGTTTTTAACCACTTGCTATATTACAGTACTTTCAAACGCTCAAGAAATTCTACTTGTGCATGTGTACTTTTTTCAGACCAGGTTTTCTGTTCTTGTTCGCTTATACATTTATGTAAAGTGATGTGTCCTTGGAAAAAAAGATAATAATGGTCTTCATGGGTTATTACCTAGACTCACTCAATCCCCCATTATTTATACTGTATTATGAAAATAGATTACAAGAGAAGAGTGTAAGCGCATTACCGAGCACTTTCGAGGCAAGGGCTGGCACGTCACAGAGATATGTGACACTTCAAACACAAAATGGGCTGCGAGGTGAACAGGAGTTGGCAATACAGAAAATCAGTGCTATCTTCTTGCGTGCATGGTGGATTTTTTTTTGGTACTCTGGTTTCCTCAAACATCAAGCATATAGCAACACTCATGGAAATGGGAAAATATGCCAAGGCAGTACCTTCCTGAAAGAAGTGATTTAAAGCTTTCATGACTGCAGGGATTCATCTTCTTGGTTTTTTTCGATAAAGTCACGTAGAAGGGAAATAATAAAATAAAGACAGACCTGTTCTTCACCTGAGGGACAGCTGCTTGCGTTGTGGCCGAAACGTCGTGAAAATTATTTTATTATGTGAAATTTTTTATTATTTTATTATTTCCCTTCTACGTGACTTTACCGAAAGAACCAAGAAGAAGTGTCTTGAGGTTATATATTTAAACTATTCGACTACGATGGATGCGAGTAATTCCCCCGGTGCCTCCCTAAAAAAGACGAATTGCCCGCGTGGGGTCCTCCCACTTGGTTCTCAAAGTCCTGGCGGCTTGTTGACACAATAAGACATCCTTAGCTTTGACGATGACAGCACCACCGGCAATGCTCAATACAGACTCCACTCTACATCACTTAAACTACCCAACACGCTCACATGACTGTTTGGCAATACGCGTGTATTGTGATGACCTTGCAGCCAGCAGGATAGGGAAGTACAAGCATGCTGAGCAGCAAGCGGTTTGGACTTTACCCACGCGGACGCTCACTCAGTAGTTGTATTATGCGTTGTGGATGTTACATAAAACATAAACAGTACAGTTAGAAACCAAAATAGATAAGCAGACAATGTCTCCTTCATATAATCGGTCTCAGCACAAGGAAACTCTGGACCGGTTTTGAGTGTGTCCAGATGGAAACTGCTGCTGAAATGATGTACAGTACTTTGAGAAGATTTTGGGGCTCATGGGTTGTGTAACAATTATTTTTAAAATTACATTAGGATACTGTTATAAGGAGACATTTTCTGGCTATCTATGTTGTTATTTATATTCTCCATAGCAACACGAAAGACTATTACGATCAACAAAGAAATGTGGCTAGCAACACTTTGCGACTACACATGTTAAAGTCTCTAACCCTTAAAGTCACGTAGAATATCACCAGAATATACATTAGTCAGTCAGTCACGGCCGTTAACAGCAAAAACATTTTTATGCATAATATGAGATGTTAACTAAGTAGTGCGCAAGATTGATTAAATGCACTTAATACATTAGCGGGGCGGAGTGGTGGTAGTGGTAAGCACATTGTGCTTCGAACCCGGCAACCCAAACTCAATTTCCGGTAACGACTTGCATCAGTGGCAATTGATCTCAGAACTCTGTCCATTTGTCTGTGTGAAGTGAGGATCACATGTATATAAGGGGGTTATTAGTTATGGTGCTATTCAGGGCTTGCCCTATCGATGATATTTGAACATTTTAGGAAGGGGCACTATTTGTGTTACTGTGCAGATCACAGAAATGGACACTAAGTAACTTGGAAAAGAGTTGATGGCATTAGGGCACTGGTGTCTGAAACGGAAGCGAGGAATTTCGTGGCAACACTGGATAAGCAATGCACAAGTCCGGAAGCAAACGTGGTAGCTAAGTGTTGTAAATATGATTAGGAAAACATGGCTGTGCTGGGTGGGCCATGTGTGAAAGATGATGGACAACCAGTTATCGAGACCCGCACTGGAATGGTCGACACGAGTCGAGCGACCAAGGCAAAAACTTAAAACCAGATGGTGGTCCTGGATTGTGGCTGGTGGTCCCATATTTACTGTGCAGGAGCTGTGGAGTCTGTCAGAGGCTAAGTGATGAATTCTGGTGACATCAACGACTTTGGCTATGATGACATCTTGATCTATAGACTGGGCAAATTTACCCAAGGGTTTGCCATGAAATATTAATGAACTCACTCATCGTTAATGACATGGTCCTCTTAAACAATGCTAAAGTCACACACCAAAGCTGATGTCATATGTCACTAGACCTCAACTGCTTTTATGCTTAAATTTATATATTCTTTATAAACAAGTTAATGTTATCACATGTGACGTAATCTTAGTTTATAATGAATACATTCATTTTATAATAAAGTTGAGATCTCATGCCACCAAGACCAGGCTCAGTTTTCCCTGCCTGGGTCCTCGCACCTCCCCAGGAAAGAGATCTTAAAGGAGACTGGGACAGGCACAATGCGCACATTATTATGAGCTATGGTCTATACACTGCTGTATGAACACCAATATGTTTCGGATTTAAGTTGAACCCAATCTATGTGCCTCTCAGTGTCATTCCAAGCATGCATCTCTCTGCTTTTATCATCATACTCTAGGCACTGTTACAAAGATAAAAATTATCTCTTAACTTTCGTACATTCTGATTCACGTGTTACTTATTCTGTCTGTCAGTGTAATTCTAAAGTGAACACCTTTCTCTGCGCTTCTTTAAAAACGAACCATTCTTTGCACACTTTCTTTTTATTTTATTAATGCTTATTTGTTTCTGATCCGTACCAATTAGCACAGTTGGCTACATACGGTGCTAAAAAAGTTCAACAACCATACAATTGATAATATGCATGTTTTTAAAAGCCATGTATTTAAGGCATTACATGGGCTTGCATCACCATACACCCAGGCTCTGGAATTCCCTGCCCCTTGGAGGTTAGGAACTCATTGGCGATGGAGACGTTTAAGTCCCGACTGAAGACCCCCCACTACGTATATAAAAAGGCCTCTCTTCATTTCTCGATATCCATAGTCTTTCTGTCAGGGCGCCTTGTAGATCTAAATTAGTACTGATACTTGCAAACACAACGGCATGTTGAAAAGGTTACAGAATTCATGCATATGAATTATTTTCTTTTTGTTTATTTTAAAATGTAAGTGGTGGAGGAAGGGAGAAATTAACATATAATCGACCCCACCAATAGACATAACTACAGTACATTGAGACACACAATAAGAGTATTTGTTGTGTTTAGGTTTGTACAGTAAAATGCATATATGCTACATACTGATGTTTTCTTTTATCACATATAGACATTTTACATATGTTATTGTTTTTGTTACATGTCTTTCAATATGCATTCGCTGCTCGCCAGACCTTTCAGCTATCCAGAACAGGGCTCTCGCCATCGATTACTCTGGAAAGCCACGGTAGTTTTACTCTGTATGTTTTAGATGCGGCGGACTGGTGCGGTTTTAGTTCATGTACTTCAATGATCCACAAGTGACTCTGGTTGGATTCCTGCCTACGATGAGCGTCACTGTCGGTAGCAATTGTGATGCATACGTGGCCCAAGTCTGATGTAAAATTAGTCATAGGTGCAATGTGGGCAGTGTCAGTGTCAACTGAGAGGCAGGTCATTGGCGACTTGTTCAGGGCACATGCAACTAAACAAAAAGGACACAATTGTTGAATGTCAACAGTATTCAATGTCAACAACATTCAACATGCCTAGGCTTATTTCACTGATGAGCTCTAATGATTGAGGACCCATATAACACTATAGACTCTATTTGTCAGACTCTAAATGAGCTCAGCCTAAAATATATACGTGCGACAACATTGTATTCATTAATTCAAATTCCGTTATGTGTTGTATATAGATACATTTATAAATAGTCACGTCATTGCACGATACTGTGCAATATTTAACACTGTTGTAGTTGTCTCGAAATATACTAGACTGTACATAAATGTAATATTTTATAGGCCTATGTTAATCCACTGCTGGATGAATGCCGTGTCGGTAACGGCCAGTTTGTATTGTCATACTTCACCACCATGGTAATTGTAGTTTGATGGGGGTGCAGTACAGATATCACTTGCCACTGATGTCAGACATGGCAAGTACTCACTCAGGTAATCGGATTTAATGCAGTGCGCTAACCATTGCGCCATCGCTCAACCCCACAGCATTGTTATAATTGTAAAATACATATATTACACTGGGATACATACTGTTATAATGTATATCTATGTTTTTATACAGTTTTATGGGCCATTATATAATAGAGCATACAGCACTTACACCACAATAATCTGTGTGGGTTGGTGAAGGTGGGGAGTGCACTTGACAGGGTAGTACAATAAAGGATGTTTGTGGTACTACCCTCTGCTGCCCATAAAACATGCCCACAGCCTATAACACCGGTTATGCATGGTGGCCGCCCCGCTAAGCACTATCCAGGCACAATCCTCGGAATTTGCTTCGGAGTTATGACGAGATCCGGGTCACTTGGTCACTGACACACGCTGGAGGAATCGGATGAGCTATAAAAAATTTGCACACATGCCCAGTCGGGGCGGGTAATAACGTTACAACATAATTCTAAATTTGAAGTTTTCGTGACGGCAAGGATCCACACTCTTTGTTTTTGTTCGGTAAAGTGACTTTACCAAAAAAAAACAAAGAGTAACGTTACAACAATACAAAAACACGCTAGGCGTGCAAAGTACAAGAAATGTAAACAAATCACACAAAGCTCTCCGCTCTACGAAGGGTAAAACCTATTATTATTCTTATATTAATATATAAGAACCACTTTGTTCTGAGATAACAGGAGTTAAAGCTGTCCGTCGAAATATCCTGTTTGCGCAACCGGCGTTGGCGAGCTTAAAAGAAAGGTGTGGGCTTCATTATCACATTACGCCTACACACAACCACCGCCTAATATGTCATTGAATAGCAGTGCAAATGTCCTATGGATAAACTCCCGCCACAGGAATGTGGAATGTCCATCACTGGCTTATGGCGGCTTCTGTATACAGGCTAGAAGCACTTCCGCACGAAGTCATGAGTTGTGTAACACCGTGTCCCGAGACACCGAGACATCGCCCACAGCCAAAGCCGCCTCTGAGTTTCCTTGAAACAGCCCTCAAAAGAACCACAATGATGTCACTGCCGTATTATTATAACACGAGGTAGATTTTAAATAAGTGGGCTGCTGTTGCCGCCGTGTAAATCACTGTTTCATTACTTTGATGGCTTTATTTTGGTGATTTCGAAAAGTTTTTGGTTTGGCCATGTTTGTTTGTTGTAGTACAGAGTAAGACTGATGACCTTAATCTAAGTTGTTTTGTGGTTGTTGTTGTTTGACTTGCATCCCACTGGGATGTTTGCACACAGCGTTGGTGTACGGTGCTTTTTCTGGAAGATTTTGCTGTTTTTTCCTGGATATTTTCTGTTTGCGCGTAGTCACTTTAAGATGTTTTCTTGTTCATGTTTTTGTTATTTGTTTGTTGTGGTTGCACCCGATTCAAGAGCCGAATGGCCCACAGGGCTATACCTAATAAATGAACTTGAACTTGAAATTGGTAGCGCAATGAACTTTTCAATTCATACGTCGCCAGTTTAATTCAAACTTTGCCAGCGCGGAAGTTGTATCAATGATACAAGTACTGTGTATATTTAATCACCGTTCACCCCGAGACCACGAATTTGTCCACCCAGCAACATAAATGGGAGCACCCCCACCGTTCGGCAGGTCGCTGTTAACGGTGGGGTAAAGTGTGGGTACCCACGCCTCTATCACGGCGTCTGGCCATCGTGGAAGAGTAGGCCTTTGGTCACCATCGCTTGACATTCGTTCAACATCATCTCCGATTAGTGTTAATTCTCTGATCCACTTGAAATGGACACTATCACTATTACAACTGATTACTGTATGTGATTGTCGTATGTTGAACTTCTTTCGCACTGTTCGTAACAAACCGTGCTAATCGAAGGTGCTATTAAAACATGCTTAATTCACAATTAACAAAAATGTAACAACGACATTCAACAAAACGTTAAAGGTGCGGCCGTGCAACGTCTTGCTCACGCCACTGATGACGGAAGGGCATTCACTACACAGCTCTCGAGATGAATTCTCGAGGGTATTTGGTCTACTCTTCCACGATGGACAGTTCAAGTTCAAGTTCATTTATTAGGTATAGCCATGTGAGCCATTCGGTTCTTGAATCGGGTGCAACCGCAACAAACAAAAAAACAAAAACATGAACAAGAAAACATCTTAAAGTGAATATGTGACTAAGTGCAAACAGAAAATCCAAGAAAAGACAGCAAAATATTGCAGAAAAAACACCGTACACCAACGCTGTGTGCAAAAATCCCAGTGGGAAGTCAAACAACAACACAACTTAGATTACGGCCATCAGTCTTACTCCGTACTACAACAAAAAACATGGCCAAACCAAAAAACTTTTCGAAATCACCAAAATAAAACCATGAAAGCAATGAAACAGTGATCATAGCAACTGTGACGGAGTTTTCACAACAAACGACATAAACAACACGTACTACCAAAACCCTGCAGTCATAGCTGGCTGCATGAGTCACTCCACAACAGCAGCAGGAGCATCAGTCGGAGTATCAACATTTTTCAATTCACCTTTAAGATCAGCACACCAAATCAAAACACAGGTCATACTTTTCAGCATGACAGACGTCATGTGAGAGGTGGGGAGTACCCACACTTTACCCACACACACACACGAACCATTCCGATCGACTAATTGCAACTACAGGGTGTAGAGGGACAGAGAGAGGCGGTAGCGGCGACTTGGGCTAAGGAACCTGCCGCCCCATTGTTACAAGTGCCGCGCCTGGAGATACAATCAAACGATTACACCCGCACGTACGACTGCTGTACTGTCGTCGTAACATGTGCGAAAGGGCCATTGCCCGAAACGTCAGCGCTATTGACTAAGGTTGCCGAGTTGTATTGTTATTATCGTGCCTCAGTCGCGATTTAAACCGGGAGCGCTTGCTAGGCCCGAGGCTCCGTGCAGGCGAGGCGCCCTCCCCCCCCCGATGGCATCAACACGCGAGCGCCAGCAAGGAACCGCTGCTTATCGCGTCGTGTTATGCGAGGCCTCGTATCCCAAACTCACCAAAGCCGCACACCATCGCGACGGCGTCTCAAACGAAGTTCACGAAGAAACAAAACTCCTCGGAGGGGCTTGAAACTCAATGACGGATGGATCCGTTCGCGACGCTGTTCAAGATGCGAACACCCCCACGTCCTGTCGATGACGTCACGCCGAGCGCGATGACGTCATCGCGCTGTACGGCTTGGCCGGCGTGACGTCATCGCGCACTAACGATCCTGGCCCCACCCCCCATGGACGTCATCGCTCACGACAATCCTGACCCAACCGCGTGCCAACAACGCGCGAAACGGCTCGGCGGGCGTGACGTCATCGCGCACTAACGATCCTGACCCCACCCCCCGTGACGTCATCGCTCACGGCAATCCTGACCCACCCCGCGTGCCATCAACGGGCGAAACGGCTAATCCGGCGTGACGTCATCGCGCACGAAAGATCCTGGCCCCACCCCCCATGGACGTCATCGCTCACTACGAAGTTGACCCACATGACGTCACTTCGCTCGATGCGATCCGGCCGGCGTGACGTCATCGCGCGATACTCCCAATGACGTCAAAGTTTGCTTTTGTCAACATTTTAATATTGGGAGACAGTCTGCTTATTTATTTAGCAATTTGTTTCTACAACGACGCTCATAATTACGTTGTGTTATGGATAAAATAGAGAAATATTTTCGTCGAACTAAGACCCAATACAATAAACGGCGGGTCCGTGTCTACAACATCTGCTGATGAGACCCTGAAAGTCGAAACCGGTCCAGAGTTTTGTTTGCGTTGAACCGATTTGAAGTTGTCGTGACTGCAAGGATTCATACTCTTTGTTTTTTTCGGTAAAGTCACGTAGGTAAAAAATTTAAATAAATAAAATCACGACGTTTCGGGCGCAACACAAGCGTCCTTCTTCAGGTGGGGACAACTTAGTGCCCGAAACGTCGTGATTTTATTTATTTAAAATGTTTGCCTTCGTGACTTTACCGAAAAAAACAAAGAGCATGCATTGAACCGGTGCTGTTGAGATTGTGCATTCCCAAAAGGTCGTGTGGCTAATGTGAAGTGTTGAAAAAAATGTCGGATTATTATATGTGGAGGGACAAGATACACTTGATGTGAATGAGGTGTATTGTCTGCTTATTTCGAATCGTGAAATTCTATTCACGAGTCGATTAATTTACAATTGTGGCTTCATATACTTTTCCCTGCCGTTAACCTCCCACTTGAACTGCACTCACCCTCACTTTGCATTGAAGTGATGCCATCCAATTAATCACTTTGCTCCTCTAAATCCATGAGCCAATACAATATATTTCATTCATCTGTCACCCCCTGACGTGACATAACATTTCTGGTTCCAATTTCTTTAAGTGGCCAACAATAGTGAGTTATGTGATATCCATTTTAAAATGAATGGGCTTATCAAATACATCACTCTTATTCGCTGTATTAAGAAATTGGTACAATTTAAGTTTGTTCTCCTGTAGGTGGTGCCGATTTCTGCTATGTCCCATGGACTATCTTGATATTTCAAAATGTTGCTGAGATTTCGTTCATTATCAGCTGCCCTAATGACCTACATTGTTTGTGTTACCTATATTGCTTGTATTCCCACTGTAATTAGCTTTGCCCTCGACATGCCTCTGTTAAAGTGGAACTTGCATGGCACCAGTCTGTGGTAATCTTCTGCGTAGAATCCGACAATCTGCAGTTTTCCAAAAAATAGATTGAAGAAAGGCAAACGCATACGTGAAGAAAATAGTAACCATCTCAAAATTGCTGATTTATCTATGTGAACAACCAATGGAAATTAATTGCAGGAAATGATTGAAGAGATACAAAAAGAGGGGTGCAAAGTGGGGTTCAAGATAAACACAGGAAAAACAAAAGTAATGCACAAGTTTGGTGAAATTAAGATAAAGTGTTGAAGGACACCACTATAAAGCACATTTGAGTACAGTGTGTGTACCTCGGAGGGTAATTGAAGGCAAACCAGGATCACAATTATGAACTAAAGAAGCGACAGCAGGATGGAGCACTCTTGCAAAACTGAATGTGATCATGATACGCAACACACCGTGTTTGGTAGTGGGGCACAAGCACAATAAACAACAACAAACCCGCAAAACATCCTTCAACAACACCGTGGCCTTACAATAATAACATTTCCTTCTATATTTCTGCTTTTAAGTCAATGTTTTGACGAATGTGTTACGTTTGTTTTTCCATTTAAACGTGGATCAGAAACATGGGTACAGTGAACAAGAATGAACTGAAAAGCCAAAGAAACACGATTTCTTCCTTGAAAATATGTACACAGAGACGTGGAAACAGAAACGCATATATCAGGGAATAAACACATTCCTGCGGAGGGAGCTGGTAGGAACGTTGGGTTGCTCGGTCAATGGCCAGGGTCAACGGCGGCGTGGTGTATTCCGCAAATATGCCCGACTGTGAGGGCGGGCACAAGCCGGCGTGAGTAGGTTAAACGTTGAGTTTTATAAGGGCACCATGGGGTGACCAGCCCCTCCCCACCCAGCCCCACCCCTCCCACCCCCCACCCAGCCCCACCCTCCCTACCCAGCTCCTCCCCACCCCCCACCCAGCTCCTTCCCACCCAGCACCACCCCTCCCACCCCCCACCCAGCCCCACCCTCCCCTCCCCACCCAGCCCCTCCCTCCCCACCCAGCCCCTCCCTGCACGACGGACGGACACAACAATCCCCTGTGGGCTGGTGGAACCAGGAGGTTCCTACCAGTATAAACACATTCTCAATGTGAAGGAATGTGTGTGGACCCGGACAGGATGGGTGAGTGGTAATGTCAAGGAGAGGGCATGCCCAACAGGATAAACACCACAGAAATGTCGTGATGAGATTGGCTCGTGTCCAGTTGCGAAATTGATTGTTGTGACATTGCGGGACTGTGAGCGAGAACGACGACGTGGGGAGTCCATCCAGCAGTAGACAGAACACGGCCGAGGAAGATCATGACCAATCTTGAGTCGAAATAAAATTATAATAAGAACGGCGCATCGCCTTACATTGAAACTGCATTCTATTCAGCCAACAAATCTAGATTAGTTCATCATCTTCACTAAACACTACTGCACTGTTAATTGTGTGTACGTATCTTCTTGGTTCTTTCGGTAAAGTCACGTAGAAGGGAAGTAATAAAATAATAAAACATAAAACACTTGTGTGCAGAGCAGAGTTTTCTCTCTCGTGAAACATTTAACGGTAAATGCTAGGCTAAGTCAAAATGAAGCTAACATTTTTTTGCTACAATTTTGTTTTACCCTTAGCTCTTTGCAAATGTCCTAAACTGGTAAAAAGTGGCTTTTTGTGCAAAGCCACGATGACTTGGAGTGGCAATGACCTCACCGTGCAAACATCTTACAGTCGTAATCACGGTGGGTTTCGCCAACTGTTCCCCCCACGATCCCGTTCTATAAAGGCGATGGGTTTCACTTTTAACTACAGCTGGGACATCCGATCGTTTAAGACTTTAAGTAATCGAGTACTCAACGGTGTCTGTCAATCAGTACCTTCGTTTAACCGTAATTGGCAGAGTAATCGATTACTTAATCGTATATCCCAGCTCTGTGGTAAATAAGGGATATCAATCACTAGATACAACGAATATCAATGGCTCTGGTTGTATAGAAGTATGCCAATTACAATAAATAATTAATCTCAATTGAACATTACATGGTTAAATATAAGGGGCAAATCACGACAGACTACTTTCAATGGGTTCTCCCATGGGTTAAATATAGAACTTCAATCACAAGAGACAATCTCAAAGGGTCCCCAGATGGTGACTTAGTCACAAGACAAACTATAAGTGGGTTAAATATACAGCTTTAATCTCATAAGATAATCTCAATGTGCTCTCCCACGTGGTTGTATAAAGGATGTCAATCAAATTATTCTCGACGAATCTGTTGTACGCAGAACAACCGCTGCTCGTGAGAAACGTATAACTACCGTAATACAGTATCTTTCGATTTAAAGCTTTCGTGACTACAGAGATTAATATTCTTGGTTCTTTCGGTAAAGTCACGTAGAAGGGAAATAATAAAATAATAAAAATAAAACAATAAAATCCTCACGACGTTTCGATTATTTCCCTTCTACGTGACTTTACCGAACCAACCAAGAATACCATAATATCGCATAATTACGCCACTCATTTCAACAACAGCACCAACACGTCTCAACACACATAGCAATACAAATAAAATGATTACAACAAAGGGGTTTCGAAACAACAACATTGCACGCAATCAAACATCTTAAAGGTGCATTGAAAAATTTTGATACTCCGTTGTGGAGTGACTTATGCAGCCAGCTATGGCTACAGAGTTTGGTGGTACATGTTGTTTATGTCGTTTATTGTGAAAATTCGGTCACAGTTCCTATGATCACTGTTACATTGCTTTTATGGCTTTATTTTGGTGATTTCGAAAAGTTTTTGGTTTGGCCATGTTTGTTTGTTTGTTGTAGTACAGAGTTAGAATGATGGTCTTAATCTAAGTTGTCTTGTGGTTGTTGTTGTTGTTTGACTTGCATCCCACTGGGATTTTGCACACAGCGTTGGTGTACGGTGCTTTTTCTGCAATATTTTGCTGTTTTATCTTGGATTTTCTGTTTGCACTTAGTCATATATTCACTTTAAGATGTTTTCTTGTTCATGTTTTTTTTGTTTGTTTGTTGCGGTTGCACCCGATTCAAGAGCTGAATAGCTCACAGGGCTACACCTAATACATGAACTTGAAATTTACTGAATCAAGTGAGTAAATTTAGCTGTGACGGTCCCACCTGATGACGGAGACTCGTGTTGCCTCCAAAACGTCGTGATTTATTATTTTATTTCTATCATTATTTCTATTTTTTTAATTATTTTTACCTACGTGAGTTTACCGAAAAAACCTAAGAGTATGAATTATTGCAGTCACGAAAGCTTCAAATCTAGAATTGAACTTGAAACAGTGCACCTATTGTTCTCTTAGCCCCGCCCACCTCCCCAACACGTTCCATTCATTGGCTACCACATTCAGATAAGCCCCTCCCCCTTAACTTGTATTTAAGAGCTTGTCTCTTGGAATTTTGCCTCACTTGATACAATAAATTTAGCTGTGACGGTCCCACCTGATGACGGACACTTGTGTTGCCTCCGAAACGTCGTGATTTATTATTTTATTTCTATTATTTTATTTCTATTATTATTTTTATTATTTATTTTTATTCTAGATTTGAAGCTTTCGTGACTGCAAGGATTCATATTCTTAGGTTTTTTCGGTAAAGTCACGTAGGTAAAACATCAAAATTAATTTAAAAAATAAAATAATATTAAATAAAATAACCTACGTGACTTTACCGAAAAAACCTTAGAGTTTGAAACATTGCCAAACAAATTCGCTAAATCGCATTGACCACGCCTCCCCCCTCCCTCCCAAGGCCACGAAAGTGCAGCGCGCGAACGTCGCCCCATGCTGAGTCCGCCTTGTGGCGGCGGCGGTGGTGGCGGCCGGTTGCGTCCCGTGGTAGCGGCGGCGACGGCTTTGGCAGTCTTCTCTCGCATCCAGTCAGCGGCGGATGCTCGCGCAGCGACGAGCGAGAAGCACACACACACGGCGACGAGCTTGCGCGGCGGCCGGAGGAGACCATGGGCGGGTCGCGGACGTGAGGGAGTCGGGCCGAGGCGTAGGCGAGCGGCAGGCCCCGTTGGCAAGGGGGGTGAGGTAGGCCGCGCGGTTTGATTCCGCAGCGCGGATACGCGTGGGGCGTTGATTTCATTTGTCAGTGCGGATAAGCACTTGTCATCGCAAAAGTGTAATAAGCGGTAAAATACAAAAGTATGTACACGTCCCATCAACAACACGGCCCCTTCTGTGAGTGCATAAATTCTGCCTCCATTAGTTCAACACGCACACCTATAAAGGAGTTTTGACATTCCAGTGTCTCATCAGCAGTGAAGCTTGAACTGACAGATTTATTGAAATTCTAATAAAAAATGGATAATGCATAATAATGAACGTCATTGTGGGGAATATACGTAACGAACTAAATGAGCATAAACTTGCCTCCATTCTAAGAAGTTCTTTAACAATTAAAAATGCAAAAGTTGGAGGTGCGTCTTGCATTCGGGTATTTGACCTGGAACCTGGCTCTGCAAGTGACATCCGCTCAGCGGTCAATCTATTTGTTACTCGGCATGTGTTCCACTCGGTCTATACATCACTTGTCTAAGAGCCAGTTAATCTACGTGCCACTCGCTCTGACACCCATTCTAATGTAGGTAATGTTTTAATGTAATCTTCGCGTGTCTCTTTCATTGTTGTAATTGGTGCTTTCGTTTCTAAATGTGTGTTTATTAGCTCCTTCTTCTTGGTTCTTTCGGTAAAGTCACGTAGAAGGGAAGTAATAAAATAATAAAAATAAAACATAATAAAATAATTCTCACGACGTTTCGGCCACAACGCAAGCAGCCGTCCTCAGGTGAAAACCAGGTCCGTCGAGGCGACAGAGTCTGAATGAAGCAGCACACGAGCTTGGAGCATATATATAAGCTGGGCGCATTGACAAAGGAATTTGCATATCAAGAGGAATTTAGCATATTCATGGTAAATGCAGGAATGTGATTAGTACTGCATATGCATGTGCATTATGCACGATTAACAGCATCAAAGGGAGCTACAGTTGCTGCTGCTGCTGCAGTTGCTGCTGCTGCAGTTGCTGCTACTGCTGCTGTAGTTGCTGCTGCTGCTGCAGTTGCTGCTGCTGCTGCAGTTGCTGCCTTATCCATTTTTAATATAACACTATGTATTATTCTACCCACCTTAATGTGTATCACACTGCTATATATTTACTATACAATTACGACACCATACATTACTCTGCACACTGCACCATGCCAGTGAGTGGAACGCGGTCTGAAAGTCACCGTAAACCGCGTTCCACTCACTGGCATGGTGCAGTGTGCAGAGTAATGTATGGTGTCGTAATTGTATAGTAAATATATAGCAGTGTGATACACATTAAGGTGGGTAGAATAATACATAGTGTTATATTAAAAATGGATAAGGCAGCAACTGCAGCAGCAGCAGCAACTACAGCAGCAGTAGCAGCAACTGCAGCAGCAGCAACTGCAGCAGCAGCAGCAGCAACTGTAGCTCCCTTTGATGCTGTTAATCGTGCATAATGCACATGCATATGCAGTACTAATCACATTCCTGCATTTCCCATGAATATGCTAAATTCCTCTTGATATGCAAATTCCTTTGTCAATGCGCCCAGCTTATATATATGCTCCAAGCTCGTGTGCTGCTTCATTCAGACTCTGTCGCCTCGACGGACCTGGTTTTCACCTGAGGACGGCTGCTTGCGTTGTGGCCGAAACGTCGTGAGAATTATTTTATTATGTTTTATTTTTATTATTTTATTACTTCCCTTCTACGTGACTTTACCGAAAGAACCAAGAAGATGAATCCCTGCAGTCACGAAAGCTTTAAATCGAAATATTAGCTCCTTGTTTGTGATAGCTTGAATGATATCCAGAGTCTATAAAAGGCTCGAAAAATATTGTACTGTTATTAATATGTATGAATAAGGAAATACTTGTTTTTCCTGGAAGCTGGTACATTTTAAATACAGTAACTCCAACTTTGTACCCAGGAGGAGGCGATGGACTCACACAACTTGGCCAAGCGCAAGGAGGTGCGCAAAAGCCTTCGTGTCAAGGTCATCAGCATGGGCAACCCGGAGGTCGGCAAGGTGAACAAAAGATTTCATCACCACTGGAATCTAATTGGGAGGGTCTCATTGAGACCACTGGAATTACCAGAGCATCTCGTTCCTAGAGTTCATCAAATATAAAACAATAAAAATCCTCACGACGTTTCGACTGGGTATCGGTTCCAATATCTTTTGGGACCGATACCCAGTCGAAACGTCGTGAGGATTTTTATTGTTTTATATTTGTATTATTTTATTATTTCCCTTCTACGTGACTTTACCGAAAAAACCAAGAATACGGTCCCAATATCATCGTGTTACCAAGGTATTATCACAGATGTGTCAGTCTCATCATGAAGGCCAATAACTATCGTTAATTAACTTTTTTTCAGCATGACTGATAATTGCATGAAAATATTAAAACATAGATTGGTTGCTGCAAGTCTTGAAATGTCCAACAGTACAAATAAAAGTCCTGCCCTGTGTGCGCGTCTTTGTGTGAACATGCCACACTCACTAATGAGACCTGCTACCGGTGTCTTACAATGGTTCCGGCTGAAAATTTTACCGATTCTATTCACGATTTCATCAGGTTTGGAATCGATAATAGAATCTGAAAATGAGTATTGATCCTTTATGAATGGCCCTATTGATAGGCATGGAAACACCACCGGAGTCTCGCTTCATTATGATAATTTACCATTTACACCGTGCATCCCATTGCAGTATGAGGTATTTTGTTGCAAGGGACCCCCAGCGGCAGCTGTCCCTGTGAGGCACAAGGGGAAAACGGCACCAGCCAGAAAGTGGGCATTAGTCTGCCAATAGGGGGAGATACTGCTTTGTGGCTTCCCAATTCAGTATTTTGTGAGTACGGTAATTGATCAGATTTTGTAAATCTGTACCATGATGCCGGCACACACGGCCTACTCATGTTCATGCGATCTTTAACGTTAACTGTGAAACAGGCGGCACATATTTATTATTAGCGCGGTTGGCTACATACGGTGCGAAAGAAGTTCAACATAAATACATATATACGTAAATTACACTCCGCAGTATCAATCAGGGCGGGTGCCTGGCTTGAACTGTGGACCTCTGCAACAAGAGGAAAACGTGCACGCGGCCATGTCATCGCCCCAGCTCTGCCTTGTCTGCCAACCCCCGTCTCTGCCGTGTTCCTCGTCCCTTGTGCGTGTTGTTCTGTGCAGAGCTGCCTGATCAAGAGATACTGTGAAAAGCGCTTTGTGCACAAGTACATGGCCACCATCGGCATCGACTACGGAGTCACCAAGTGAGAGTCACCCCCACAATATACAGGAGTTGATAGGACACTATGTAACTTTGACGTGTACATTACACGCCATTTTGCTTGGGGAGAGATATAATGTTGAGCACCATTGATCTCCATTGTTTTGTAGATAAGCTACTATTACAATTGAACAGTTACTGGCATTAGAATTTTTACATGATTAATAAGCTTTATTTTATATTTAAATATATGTTGTAATAATGTAACTGTGTATAATCATAACATTCATTTTGTATCCCTTATAACTTAAATTATGAATATGTAATATGAGGCTATATCCGGCTCACTGACGTATCACAACTCGTCATGGTGATTGGCTCTGCCGGTCCTGGTTTACAGCCAATGGGGTGAAGCCTGGGGGCATGGCCCTGACGTGATGGAGAGGTAACAGCTAGGGAGATTGGTTCTGCTGGCTTTGGCCTCAGCCAATGGGGAGATGAGTCAGGAGCGTGGTCCCGGGAGCTGATGAGGGAGCCTGGAAGATTCGAGGCAGGCTAACAAGGATTGGCTCAAGCGTACCACGTGACCCGGTATTAAATAGGGGTAGAGAAGAACGACACGTGTTCAGAACAGGAACGGAGGAAGGAAGGGGCCACGCGTGAGCAGGGCTCCGAGTTGCCACGTGGCCGTGCGTCGCTCTCGGTGCATCTGTCCACTTCACGTTGCCTATCAGCAGCGGGAAGTAATTGTACCCTAAGTAAATAAAAAGACGTGTTCCAGAAGTTGTCTCCAAGACTGTTATTACAAATAGAAACCATTTCATGTTACAAGCAGCATGGAAACGCGCTCACGCTCGGCAATGTCACTGATTCCGGGAGGGTTGAGTAGTGGTGGTGTAGTGGTTAGCGCGCTGGTCTATGAACCCAGCTACCAGAGTTCGATTCCCAGCCATGGCTGATATTCAGTTTTCAGTTTCATTTATTTGGTATAGCCCTGTGAGCCATTCAGCTCTTAAATCGGGTGCAACCGCAACAAACAAAAAACAAAAACATGAACAAGAAAACATCTTAAAGTGACTATGTGACTATGTGTAAACAGAAAATCCAAGAAAAGGCAGCAAAATATTGTAGAAAAAGCACCGTACACCAACACTTTGTGCAAAAATCCCAGTGGGATGCAAGTCAAACAACCACAAGACAACTTAGATTAAGGCCATCAGTCTAACTCCGTATTACAACAAACAAACATGGCCAAACCAAAAAGACGTTTTCGAAATCACCAAAATAAAGCCATAAAAGCAATGTAACAGTGATCATAGGAACTGTGACCGAATTTTTACAATAAACGACATAAACAACACGTGCCTGAGTGATACCTGAGCTGGTCCTGAGCCCACCATTTCACCAACCTGCTCTTACCAGCATGCTAAAGCAACCCCCAGTCAACGGACTGGTGAACCGGTCCCTGATGATGTCACTCGACAATAGACTGACAGACCATTCCCTTTATGTCATCCAGGGTCCACGTTCGAGACCGGGAAGTGAAGGTGAACATCTTCGACATGGCTGGACACCCATTTTTCTACGAAGTGAGTCCAATCAAGTGCCGCATCCCCGAGTTGGATTTCTGACAATGGTACACAACAACACCAGTATCATCTTCTTGGTTCTTTCGGTAAAGTCATGTAGAAGGGAAATAATCAAATAATAAAAATAAAACATAATAAAATTATTCTTGTGACCGAAACGTCGTGAGAATAATTGTATTATGTTTTATTTTTATCATTTTATTATTTCCCTTCTACGTGACTTTACCGAAAGAACCAAGAAGATGAATCCCTGCAGTCACGAAAGCTTTAAATCGGAAGTGAGTCCAGTCAAGTGCCGCATCCCCGAGTTGGATTGCTGACAATGGTACACAACAGCACCAGTATCAGTTTGTTTCTGCTGCTAGCCTGGACCCTACCGAGGTTAAATTGCCCCCTAATGAGCAACTGGTGCTGTGTGGTGACCATCGGCAATCGGGGGATTAAGGAGGCCAGGCGTACGTGGTGCAGGCCACACCACCACCTCTTTCCGCACCTCCAATTAGCGCGGTTGGTTATGTACGGAGCGAAAGTTCAACATACATACATTCACACGAGTGCAGTTTCCGGCTTTAATAATAATAGTCCTGTATTTACACAGGAAAGCCTCACTGCATCTCAATAATGTTTCAGAAGGATCCTGCATTGGGATGTTAACTTTCAGAAAAGCAAGTTTCCCATGCATGCATCTACATGTAAATGTCTGTTTTTGTGGGGAGCAGTGGCATAGTGGTTAGCGCAGTGTAAAATATCTGAACTAGTCAACAGCCTCCAAAAATTCCAATCAGCTTTAAATGAGTACCTCGTGCAGGGTGTAAACGTCAATACCACGGAGGCAAAGGCGGCCACACCACCCCCTCGTGCTGTGTCAGCCTTAATCGACTCTCGCCAACAGAGTTTGTTCCAACGGTCTATGACTTGCTGAGGACTGAGATATAGGCGGATATGTGCAAAGGTCAGATGTGTGAACGTCTATAGAAAATTACAATTAGACCATGCACAACCTGGGCAGCAGTAAAGCACAAACCGTTTAAGAAAGGAGCAATTTTTTATCGCACTTTACAGGTAAACAAATTAACATGAGATTAAGATTACATCACTGTTTTTGAAAAGGTCGGGTTTGTGAATATTGAAAATGAGTTGCAATGTGCACAAATCATACGCTGGGCTTGGGCGGTTTGTTGGTCAGAAAAATGTGCAATGTTAGGATACGCAACATTCTAACGTATATATGTATTTAATTTGGAGCTTTCGTGACTGCAGGAATTACTCTTTGGTTTTTTCGGTAAAGTCACGTATAAAGAGAAAATAGTATTTAATTTATTATTTTCTCTTTATACGTGACTTTACCGAAAGAACCAAAGAATATATATGTATGTGCCTGCACGCGTGTCCGTGTGTTTACACTTGTTTGTGCGTGCGTGTGTTAGGTGCGTAATGAGTTCTACAAGGACACGCAAGGTGCACTGCTGGTATTTGACGTGGGCTCGCGCGACAGCTTTGACGCACTGGACGGGTGGCTTGCTGAGATGCGGCACGAGATGGGGCCGCATGGCTCGCCCGACGACGTGCTGGTGGTGGTGTGTGCCAACAAGGTGCGCCCGGGCACTCGCTGGCACTCGTACGCCTGTACACACCACAGAGGTCGCAATCGGGTACCTGATACCCGTACCCGGGTATCAAAATAGAGGAACCCACGCAAGGTCGCAAACGGGTAGCCGTTTGCGACCTTGGTGCATGACTCACCCCAACCAATGAGTGAGAAGGCCGTGAGTCACTGGTGAGTAACCGTTTGTCACTCATTTCCCAACGTCTTGTCTCTTCTCACAATTCAAGTTCCTAGAATCAACCCACCCGCGCCTGCAACATGGCTTCATCCCAGAGGTCGCAATCAGGTACCCGATACCTGTACCGTTACGGGGAGAGTACGGGTATCCGTTTGCGACCCTGGTGCGGCCGAGTATGGGTACGGGTAGCCGCACGTGACTTACCCCAACCAATGAGTGAGAAGGCCGTGAGTCACTGGTGAGTAACCGTTTGTCACTCATTTCCCAACGTCTTGTCTCTTCTCACAATTCAAGTTCCTAGAATCAACCCACCCGCGCCTGCAACATGGCTTCATCCCAGAGGTCGCAATCGGGTACCCGATACCCGTACCCTACCCGATGCCCGGCTACCCGTACCCAACCGGGTACGGGTACGGGTAAGAAATCAAAACCCGTTTGCGACCTCTGACACACTGATACACGTACACGCACTGATCCTCAGGGTGGAGGCTGAGAGTAAGGCCTTTGCTTTTTAGTGGCAAGCTCCAGATTCGGCAGTAGTTTCCCAACTTCTCAGAATGAGCAGCGATTTACAAGTCATCAACATGTATAAGATGGTTGATCAGTAGCGAGCCAAACCTTGACGAAACAGGCATCAGTCAGACTCCTTCTGTATCTACCAGATGAAAATTTTTGCTGTGCAGTCATGGAGAGCTTCTCAAACTCCATGGTCATAAACGTTGTCAAATAATGTTGGGTGCCAGAGGACATTCATGTCGCACTCCAAGATGAATAGGGAATGGCTCTTGACTCCTGGTCACATGACTTAACATTCAGGGCCTTGACAATCATTAAGGTCCTGAATTATTGTGATCCCAAAAGCTTGAAGAACAACTCGAAGCCCTGGTCTCTTGCCTCACATGTACACAAATACTCATATCCACACATGTGTAGAGGTGTATTTGTGCATGGGCACGGATGGCTAACAAACACAAGGGGCGTGGTTAGAGCCGTACACAGAGGAGGTGCTCACACCGACGTCCGCACCTGCATCCCCCACGGGCCCCTCCCGGGGGGCCGAGTACTATAAAAGGTGGTGAGCCGGAGGGCTCGAGGTCGAGTATTAGCTTAAACCAGCGAAGAGTAAAGACCAGCTAGAATAGGCCCCGGAACTCCCCTGGCTCGCTGTCCTTGTCAGGGCCGACCAGGGCAAGCCGGTGGCGTGGCCCCGAGAGCCCAGACTGACGTTCTTGTAAGAGCCGGTCTGGAGACTCAGGGTGCCGGGATCCCAGCTTGACCAGGGCTGGGATAGGTAGCCTCCCCTAGCTCCGTAGTGGAGGACTTGGGCGTAGGTTAGCAGGGTTAGATGTTATGTCTCCCTGTAGCCGAGTGAAGGGGACGATACCCTCTTAAGTACTGTGTGTACCCGTTACTGTGCACAAGTTGGTGTTAATAAATAAGTGTGCCTCCGACCCCGTCGTCAAAGCCTCCTGAATACTTACTACACATGCACACATCAACAGTGCACGATTCTCATTTCCCTATACCTATGGTCAGTGGATATCGTCTGGGTTAAATCAAGGTTACTGTGTTTATTGTTTTTTTCATGCAGGTGGAGACAGGACGGAGGAGGGTGGTGGATGACAGTGAGGGGAGGCTCTGGGCGGAAAGCCGTGGGTTCCTCTACTTTGAAACGTCGGCGCAGACTGGAGAAGGCGTCGGAGACATGTTTCAGGTGCCTGTGCCAGTCTAGGTACACATTGATGCTAAAAGAAGTGTCCCAAAGCTTGCCGGTACCATCTCAGGTGTTGTGGGTTAATGAGCACTGAACATGGTGTGCAATTAGTCAGCATTTTCTTAAATACTAATAACTAAATGAAAATGTAAGACTTGACCAAAATCTCACCGGTTTGTCGTCGACTACACCGAGACTACACCGAGACTACACCGAGACTAAAGCAGAAACGCTGACCTAAGGTGACGCTGCTGCAGACGCTGTTTGCGGCGATCGTGGAGCTGTGCGACAACGGCGGGCGGCGGCCGACCCCAGCGGTCACCGTGGGCTTCACCAAGGAGCAGGCTGACGCCATCCGCAGGATCCGCAACAGCCGCGATTGCTGGGAGATGCTGGGGCTGAAACCCGGGGCAAACAGGTGCAAGTCACGTGCTCGCCACGCCCTCGGCACGCACAGACGCTGCTGTCGCTTGAAGGAAGACGCAACTCGAAATTCGTCGTGTCTCGTCGTACTGTAGATACGATACGGTACCACGTAGCATCTACATGCAACCACATCTCGGGTCGCGCAGTCGGTCATTGGTTAGAGAAGAAGATGGATGGATGGGGAAAGGGAGTTGCTTGAATTTGGGTGCAGCAGGAGAGATTGAGTGACTGCCCACTGAGGGAAGGTTGACCGGGGGGTTTCAACAAAAGGGTGCGTGGAGGGGATGAGAGAGGAGAGGAAGGAGAGTGTGTGGAGGGGAGTGGGTCGATGTAAGAAGGGAGAGGCAGGGGAAGTAGAGTGAGATGAAAGAGCAGAGTTAGGTAGGGGTGATTTTTTATGGTTAATTTGAAGACACTGAGTACGATATCAAAATTGACCCAGGATTGGATTGAGAGCCAGTTGAGGGTTCGACTTTAGCCATGTAATGATTGCTTAAGCCTTCATGCACTACAACGAATTGTCGTAATTCAACATGATGATTCGTTTCAAGAATCATTGTTTTTTATATGCTTTTCAACTAATATTGAAAGCGTTAATGCATGAGCTCATTCTGTCTGTAGTGGAGAGTAACAATGGTTTGTATATATTATCCAATATGAGAATATTTGTATTTTTAAGTAATGTAGACAACCTCGAAAATGTATCCGAGGATTAGCCAACCCATGGTAAAAAAACTCTAAATCATGAACTAATATTGCATATTGACCTATTGCAATAATGTCACACGCGATGGCCAAAAATGAATGACTTGGACTTACCACGGTCTTGCCTAGATTCCTTACTCAGGGAGGTGCAGGGCCTTGGACAGTGCAACCATGCGAGGCAGACCTAGACCAAGGAGGACACTGGGTCTTATAACTGCATAAATGTAAAAAAAAACTAAACGAGATGACATCGTCACGTGATATCGCACACCGTGTGTTTCTCCTGATTGATGCCATTAACTATGATGCTTTCATTATTAATTGTATTTAATGGAAATGCGCTTGCAAGCCTGGTGGCCTCGGGACCAGGCCGGCCTCGCCTGGTTTATCTGCTTGGGTCCCCCGTGCCTTCCCGGGAATCTAGGCGAGACCAGGCTAGGTCCAAGTCACTTATCATTATCAGCAGCCACGAGCTAACCACCGCCACATGAAAATGAATATTACGTGTGTATACTATACTATTTTTTTATATCTCTTTTTTGCATACAAATATGTTTGCGTATGTGTCTATACGTTCAGTGTTGGGGAGTAGTGGTTAACACACTTAACTACAAACCCGGTGATCGGAGTTTAATTTCCACTCCCAGCCAATATTGGTGACGTATATCTGAACCGGTCCTGGGCCTCTCTGAACTCTGCCTTAAATGAGTACCCGGTGCGGTGTGTGTAAACATCAGCACTGAATATGTATGTGCGTGCGTGCGTGCGAGCATAGGGATGAGATTAACAAGGCGTACCGCAAGCTCGCAGTGCTGCTGCACCCGGACAAGAGCGTGGCGCCCGGCTCGGAGGACGCGTTCAAGGCCATCGTGAACGCACGCACAGTGCTGCTACGCAGCTCCGACTGACACCACCACCGCTGCGGCACGCCGCAGTCTCAACAGCGCCAGCAGTGACGGCACCAGAAGTGACACAGATGTTACAAGAGACAGGGTGCTAGTGAACGAAGCGGTGGTACCTGGCACTGAGGTACGCGGCAAGCCAGCGCAAGCGAGATCTGGAGAAGGGAGATGGTTGTTGGCGATCGGTTGCGTTGGTTGCACCAAGAAGTTTCATTGCTGTACGAGTGGATGTGAGTGCATGTCGTGGTGATGTCACCGCCACTTAGTGGCGAATGGCGGTTGTTGTTGTACCTGTGAGTGCCTGTATGTTGGTACTTGTTTAAGAAATGCGAGTCCCTTTGTGTGAGCGTGCGTGTGTGAATGAGTGTTTTATGAACGTATGCGAGTATGTATTTTGAACTTCTTTCGCACCGTACGTAGCCAACCATGCTAATCAGAGGTGCGGTGTTAATGTGCCGAGTGGATGTTAGTACGTGTGATAATGCGTGGATGTTAGTGCGAGTGTGTGTGTGGGAGAGCTTATGAGTGGATTCAAGCAAATGTTCGTCCATGTGGACACGCGCACGTGGTCGAGAATGATTTTGGTTGTGCGTGATTTGTGAGCGTGTTTGTGTGCGATCACTTGCAATCATAGGCGACACCACTGGAGGACAGTGGGGGGCTATCGTTTGTCCTTGGAAAAGCAATAAGAGTTGGAACAGGCGAGTGAACCAAAATACCGACTTGAGTTTAACGGTAAAGTTTCAATGTAACTATTACGACGTATTTTTTTACTGTTAAAATAAACCTGGTAGTACATTTAACAATGAATGTACACAATCATGTTTAAGTGAAAAAGTGTAGGTGAATAGGCACTGTAGCTGAGGGGAAGGGACATGATGGGTCAGTAAGTGGTTAGGGTTGTGATTTATGTTTCTTTTCAGTTAAACATAAAAAATGTGTACTTAACAATAACAATGAGTATTACAAATTAAAAGTAGCTTTAACTGTTAAAAGAAATAACACTGTATCCTTGATCTAGTAATCGTAATCCCCATGACCTTTGAGGGAGGGTGGTGGAGGCTGCGGTGTCTTGATGTTACTGAGATATGCATGACATCACTTTGTTATCACAAGGTACCACGTGATCCCATTATATCACCTGTGATAGTGAATGCATTTTCACGTGATCGCACGTGATCTCATAGCACTCAGTTCCTCCTGTCGCTCCTCCACGGAGTTAAAAACAACAAAACCCTGTTCACTGCAACACAGTCCGAGGCCAAATTCGTACTGCTCAAGGCCTGTAAGGGATCATGGAATTCCAAAGCCAATCGTGTAGACTTGTTTGAGGGTTATTATTTAATGTTTATAGCTCCAGAAAAGTTTATTTTTTAACTTGTAATCACTTTTTTTTAATCACTGAAAATGCACGCCTTGCTAATCTGATTTTAAATGTGTACATGTGTGCCTTACACATGCATGCACACATACTGTACACATGTATAATGTGCACATGTGTCTTCGTGCATGTTTGTGTGTGGACCTGCATGTGTACGTATCGATACCTATTTGTGCGCACACATACATTGCATGTAATTGTGTGCACAACCTTCGACTTGCTTGCAAGTGCACATACACATTTGCTCGTGTACGTATTTGTGTGTATGTGCGTACATGTGCAACGTGCACCAAAAACATTCACAACTCCGGTATTCGAGTGTAAACCAAATGTGCGGGCAGGCCATCTTGTTAGGATTTGTGTAATCTTAACGGTGCTATATTTGTCAACAAAATTCGAACAGGCATTAATCAATTATGAAGAAGAAAAAAACAACTGTTAATACTAATAGAACATCTAGAATTTGGCGTGTTATATACTTGTATACTTGTTAATGAATATAGCTTATTTGATCACGTTTTATGAAGGAAGCTTATGCACAGCAGGTGATAGAGGCACTGGCGATCCTGCATTGAGCAGCAGTGTGTGAATAAGGACTGGGATTTTTCTGACGGAAATGTAAAACTCTGTCATCACTAGAAACATCTCAAAACACAGGCTTGTGAGTGTGTTTGAGGCGGGAGCCAAGAAGGAAATTATGGATACAGGGACTTAACTGTTTGTGCGGTGGAGTGAATGGGGTGTGTGCATCTCGGTGAAGAATCCCTTCCATCGGCAGTGCCTCACTCTGTGGCTTTAAAGCCGATGAAGTAGAAATCAATTTTGAAGAAGGGAAGGAATTGGTATCACATTTACTGTAGAGGTGTTACTGTGGTTTTATTGAACCTGCCTTGAGAAATCAATGTTGACTTCAGTTAATCATCAATCGTTACCCGGTTGTGCAGATAGGAGTTCAGTAGCATAGCAACAGCATCCAAAATATTACCTTTAATAAGGAAAGCTTCATCAGGAAGTGTTTGTGGTGTCTCCAATTCTAGATATAACACTAACATTCAACAGAGACTAAATATCTTTACCAGGAAAGAGTAATAAAAAAAGTGACTCAACAGACAAGGGTCTGTGTTTCAGCACACTAACAAATGATTCAGGTTTCTCAGCCTACGTGTTTCTTAACATGTTTTTCAGCAGCTTTTATTTAAATAGGCGAACTATGGACTAGTTTTAACTTCTCGTTTCATTTCTACGAGTCTCATTAGCAAGACATGGTTTGTTTAATGCTGCTGAGTTGCCTGATGTTAAATGCAAGAACTCTTCCCAAACACTATGGTTGTATAGAATATGTAGTTCTTCAGGAAATGGTCTGCCAGGGGCGAAGATGGTGGTAATGCCAGAGGATGGCGTGTGATGTCTCCCAAAAGGCCGTGATACACTTGAGAAGTTTCGGGCAATCGTCAACAGAAACACATTCACTCTAAGCAACCGTGGCAACTTGGTACCACAGGCAAAGTGACAAGTTATGACTGGCCAATGAACACGGTTACCAAGTATCCTTGATGGTTTACAGAGCATGCCACCTTGTTGAGTTTTTTGACATGTGCTCTGATGGGAAGTTGCAATCCCAATTGCTCACTCGACGAGCAGTGATCACAATTGCCCAGATTTGGTAAAATATTGCGATTGATGATACAGCAACCTTTGCCAGTGATGCCAGCAACGATTGCCCAGGTTGTCATTGCCTTCATGGATCTCTCATGCATATGCCAGGCAGCGTTCCATCTTGTGCTGCTTTCAAATGACGTTTTACTACGTGACCGTTATCGGAGTACGACAGTCCACACTCGCTGGTAGACCTGAAGCACAGCAGAACGAGAAGGTTTGATGGTGGTTGTACGGGCAACACGGGGGCCAGCAGTGCGCTTATTGTACTTGGAAGGTAGCACATTGTGTTATTTAATAATAACAATACTCAATAGAAAGTGTGTGTGTGTGAGAGAATGTATTTTATTTTTATCGAAAGCATTTTCCCATTAGCTCTTAAAATTGAGTGCCTACAAAGCTGTATTGTACATGCAATATTAAAGAGTGAAGTATTGGGCCCTGTAATGGCCAGCAAATTGTGTTTGTATAAATTATCTCACTTAAAAATTCTCGTCTCACCTTGTTATATTCTACAAAACGAGGTCTGGTTTTGAGCTTAAAATGTCATGTTCAGGAAGAAAATAGTTTTTTTTATTGCAATCTGAAAATGTGATTAATTACCTTAATGAATATAATAATTCATATAAATTAAATCAAAACTGGGATTCCAAATTGCTGCCAAGGGGCTGCAAGGTGCATGCTCAGTCCTCACTTAATCCATTAAGCTATTAGCGATGCATGAATTCAATGATTAAGATACATTTTTAGGCTCCCGAGCTATCGAGTCGTGTGAGCACTGAACATGATTTACGCATATTAAAGGCAAACGATATGCAAGTGTTATTTAGGTTAACGGACCAAACAATACTGTAAAAAAGTTATGGCAAAAAATGTACCTTGTGCTGGAAAGGTGAAACATTACAGCCCTAACATCCAAAATCCTGGCTACACTCATCTCTCATAGCTCACCAATCATCAGTAAAGCAGAAGACATGGTAACGACCGCATAAAAAAAAACTACGCATCATTATGTTTCATGCACTGCCCTTGGCTGTTGCTTCACCCCCTTGGCTCCGTCCAGCGAGAATGTCTGTAAACGCGACATCCTGCGTCACCGCTACCCCCAGACCCTCCTCCAGTGTTGCTCGGTCTCCCTCCACTTCCCTTGGCCCCACCTCGGGGCCCGGAACCAGGCTGCCCCTCTCGAGCCCCCACCTAACACCCACGCTGCCGCCCGGCGCGGCGGAGGGCGGACGTCGAGCTGGGGCAGGGCGAACGCCGGCGTTGTGTTGTGCGTCCAAGAGTGGCGGAGGGGTCTCGCCACGGGTCCCGGCCCACGCGGGCCTCTGTCTGCCACTGGTCGCGACAGCCTTGTCCAGGGAAAGCAGCGCTACCTAGGATGGGGGGGGGGGAGGGGGGCGGTTCAAGTTCCAGTTCAGTGATTGGGTTAGTAGTAGGAATAGTGTTGATATTAGAATGGAAGAAAGTGTCTCGTCTGGGTTTCAGATTAGGGTTATGGTCTTGTGTGGGATTAGAGTTTGGGCCAATATGAGTGTTTTGAGTAGCATTAATGTTGAAGCTCGGGCTTAATGTTATGGCCAAGATTTAGAATGACGTCAGGGTTTGGATTCTGAACACATTCCTGCGGAGGGAGCTGGTAGGAACGTAGGGTTGCTCAGTCAATGGCCAGGGTCAACGGCGGTGTGGTGTATTCTGCAAATATGCCCGACTGTGAGGGCGGGCACAAGCCGGCGTGAGTAGGTTAAACATTGAGTTTTATAAGGGCACCACGGGGTGACCAGCCCCTCCCCACCCAGCCCCGCCCCACCCAGCCCCACCCTCCCCAGCCCCACCCTCCCCACCCAGCCCCTCCCTGCACGACGGACGGACGGACACAATAATCCCCTGTGGGCTGGTGTAACCAGGAGGTTCCTACCAGTATTAAGACTACATGTTAAGGTTACGATGTTTACAACTGCATGTTCAGGTGAGGTTTAGGATATGGGTTGAGTTTTTGGGTAAATATTAGGATCAGGTTTAGTAAGGTCATGGTTCAGATGAGGTGTCGAGCTACATGATTAGATCAGTGTCAGGATGTGGTTAAAGCTATGGTTGAAGAATTCTTTGGGTCGTTTGGTAAAGTGACGTAGATAAGTTCAAAACAAAAAACTACGACGTTTCCGCTTGTGTTGCGATAAAAACGTCGTTTTTTGTTATTTTCTTTGAACCTATCTACGTCACTTCACCGAAAGACCCAAACAATATGAATTCTAATGGATGAAGATTAGGGTAAGGCTTGGGTAAGATTGGGGTCAAGGAGATATGGGTTTGGGGTCAGGATATGGGTTTGGGCTGCATGTGTTGGGTTGGCCTACTGGTGGCATGTGGCGAGTACCGGGTTGTCGTATCCCCTCACCAGTGACTGGGCTTTCCGTAATTTTCCGGATGTCGAGCGAGGCTGTGAGTCGGGGCCCAGGGAGGTTCTACCCATGTCAGGAGCAGGTCCCCCTCTTCTCCACCGCCTGAGGTGTTCAGACACAAAAACAAAGATCTCTTGTGTAGCTCACATGGACTTTTGGGGCAACTGCTGTTGGCAAGCACCTTTTGAGGCCAGAATGGTGCCAGAATGATCATGTAAGCGGCACTGCACCTGGCCACCTTTGTCTCCACAGTGCTGCTATTTACACACTCTCAAACCAAGAGCCAAAGATTACCCTGACTTCTGCAAAGAGCCAAGTGAATATATATTCGTATATATATTGACGGCTTTCGGTACAACACGGGAGACATAATTTGCCATTGTGATAGTCGTTCTACGTTATGCCCCTTCGACAGAGCCGCATGTGGTGGATTAAAGAGCCGCATGCAGCTCGGGAGACGCCGGTTGGCCACCGCTACACTATATGTATACACACACAAACACAGATATGTGATACTCTTTGGTTTTTTAGGTGAAGTCACGTAGGTGAAAAATAAAATTAAAATAAATAAATAACGACAGTTTTTGGAGGCACCGTCACAGCAAAACTACTGTATCAAGTGGCGGTGACGGTGCCACCTGAAGACGGAAGCTTGTGTTGCCTCCGAAACGTCGTGATTTATTTATTTTTATTAGATTTTTTACCTACGTGACTTTACCGAAAAAACCAAAGAGTATGGACCCTTGCAGTCACGAAAACTTCAAATCTAGAACAGATATATGATGTTGGGCCATTTGTAAAAGCACGTATATTCAAAGGCTTCTCAGTTCCATCACCATGCTGATCAGTGTGGGTTGAAGGCAAGGGGCACCAATAAGTCTGTCACTGCATGTACCGTCGATAAACACCTGCAAAAGTCAATATTGCACATGTGCAAGGGGATGGTGGCATCGGCACCATTTGTTCTCAATCAACTTTGTCTCCCCTGATCTGCGGGAAGCCCAGGGCAGGTTGAGATATCAATTGCCTTTATCTGAAGGTGTTGCATGCAATGTCAAGGGAACCAAATTACTGTCTATTAAAATCCTTAAAATAGATGCTTAGAACTGTTCACCTAAAAGTGCTATAAATACAATAAACCATGTTTACCAACGTTGGGGCGACCCCTACAATACTAACAGGGTATTGCACTGATCCAGTAGTTGGATCGTCTGTATGGATTATTGACATGACTTCCTCAACACAATTTAAGATGAAGCCCATAAATAAAACGGCTTTTGTAGATGCGTACCAAGGCTGGGTCACATGTTTCCCAACGTGATTCATAAGAGATTGTTGGGCTAGGATACGCCATAATGTTGACGATGAAAACGTACGTGTAATGAGTTG